TGCTACTACAGTATTATAATTAGAGGATACACTGCCTTTCCAGGCCATCATCTGCAAGAGCCGCAAGCAACAACACTGGCGCTCTTGTCCCCCTGGTCCCTAGACTCCCTTTGTTCCAACCTCAGCGGGGTCAGGGCTAGTGACACAAGTGAGGCCGACCTCGTCAATTCAGTCTCCTATCAGGTACATGACACCAACTGTCCCTGGACATTCGGTGAGTACAGACTGCTGTGAGAGATGTTAGAGAATTTTTGGCTGCTTCCACCCCTCTTGTACTAGAGAGTCAGTGGTGTGTTTGCTAAAGGTAACATTGGCTGGTGTTCTGAAGAGCTAAGTCTATCTAGTTCTCTGTAAAGGGACTCTGCTATTTTTGTTCTAAAGGAGGAAGCTTGTGAGCTTTAACTGCTTCTATTACAAAGTCATGTTCACAGTTTGCTATATGCAAGGACTTTTGCTTCAGTTGTATAGAAAGGAGATAACTGTCCTCAACTTGTACATAGTTTCTGTTTTTGGTATATCCCACTCAATTCCCTCAATCCTATCCAAGTTCTCCAAAAATAAAAACAACAAAAACAACACCCCTAAACTGGTTATTGAGGAAAACAGTCACTGTGTATATGTGCCTGACTGTGGGGCAATCCACTAGGGAGTTTTCCAGCGGCTCCTACGGGAGTAAGCGCTACACATGTAAAACACCTGTATTTTGCTTCTAAAACACTAGCATATGCTTGAATTAAAAGTGTTTGAATATCGCTGGGCTCAGGTGTGAATGCAGCCTAAAACAGACAGCAGACTGAATCCTGCTGAAATCCTGATCCTAAAATGCTCCACTTTGCTGGACAGTAGTCATAAGTGCATGGAAGCGATACCCTGGGTATGGTATAGTGGATTAGGCAACAATGCCCACTCCATGTATCCCAGCATACTACTGTAGTCCTATCAGACATACTTTCACAAGGACAGACTGAGCGTTGTCATCCTAATGATGGAAGTAATACCTCATCTGTTCAACAGCTATTTACATAATGTTGCGGGAGTTTTTGTGTGTTCCGAGAAAGTAGTCTTTTGATATTGGTGAACTGCTTGATTTATAACATTTTAGTGTGTTCTCATACTTGTACTTTATATAAAACTAGAATGATGTGAATAATGCCACAGCCCCACACAGACAAGGTAGGTAGCATCAATTTTCTGCTGGATAGTAGTAGTATACCAATTGTCTATTTTAGCATATGTAGGTTTCCAGTTATCCATTTCAACTATACTGTATATAGCAGTAGTTAGTCACATTTAACTGGACTTGTTCTGTAATGTTGAAGGCGTATCTTAGCTTTCTGAAGCTATTTTTTTTAGTTCTGATGAGTGTTAGGAAAACACCCCAGCATTACCCAAGGTAGCACCAATACCTTGATCAAATTACCATGGAAAAGCAGACAATATTGCTGGTTTTATACATTTTTACATATAGTTATCCTTAAGCCATTTGTAAATTATCATCTTTCTGGTAATTTTATATCCGGTGGGTGTTGGTTAACATCTTTTTGCTTAATTTACAGCTGTCTTATTTTTGGAAAGTATAACATCAAAACATATCTAAGAACATTGTAATCAGGAAACTATGGTAAAATTATTTGCAGTGCAGAATTACTGCTTAGTAAACTAACATATAACAGAACTGTAAAATTTGGATTGGTCTCAAAGGTTTTGGTTACCCTATACAGGAAGGGGTTAAATCAGCCACGGTCACACTTGTACCATTCAGCCCCAGAGAAGCCGACAGCTGGAATAGGCTTCCTCTACTAAACCAGTTCATGTTCTGGTCCTCTGGGACAAGATTATAAAACAACAAAGGTGTCATTGAGGTGCTTGTTTATAAGTGTTCTCAGTCTATGAGAAGCTGACAACAAAGACAGCTATAGTTGGTACAAATCTTGAAATGGTGATAGCTTTTGGATATTATTACAGTCAACCTATTCACAGTTTGGTGGTAACCTTCTGTAAGCTCTCAAATGACCCGATTTATAGCAAAATAAAAACAGTGTGTCATGCCTTGAAATGAAAACCGTGATACGCGTCAAGGAGCATTTATATCAAGTTATTACTGCAAAAGTTGTTTTTGATGTGACTTTCACATTTTACTTTATGTGCTATGTGGTCAAGGTAGGTTCTCTTGCCATTGGGTATTTGTAGGTCATATGGTGCAATTCAACAAACTTCCCTGCTGGACACCTTCTGTGATAAAACCAACCACAAGGCCAACCTAAACCTTAAAGGCTAACTCCACTTTCATAGGAACAAAAGTTGCAAATAAAAAAAAAATTATACTGTATACAATTGCGACACAAGTTATTATATTGTAATTGAATGTTATTAATAATAGCTTTTCCCTTTCAATCTGCAGCGCTGTCATTTTCTGTAAAATACAATTCAATATGGCTACCTGGAGGTGTTCTGTACACAGATGGTGTACAGAACATCCTCCAGAAATGTCATTACCTATTTTTGTGATTGCCTCACTGATTCTCCCATAAATCTGCACTAAGATACAAAAAAAATATGTTGAGCATCCCCTGCAACTAAAATGTCATGTTTGATGCTATACTCCGCAAAGAAAATCACGTCTAAAAGGGATGCAGACCCTGCAACTTTCCTCATTAGAGACCTGCAGGGGCAGAAGCTGATTGATAATTATAAAATCACTGCCGTACTGAAATCACTCTGCACATGGACACAGACAAACAAACAGCGATTTCTTCATAAAAACAAAAGGTAGGAATCTGCAGCAACGTTTGTTAAAATCCTTGCAATGTACATTGATCACCCAGAGGGAATGTTTTTTTTTCCTCAAGAAAGGCTGAGTTACTCTTTAAAAGCGTTCCACCCAATTCACTAAAGGGTGAAATGAGTTTGATTCTCCTATTTCACAGCTGTATTTTAAAGTGAAACTTTAGTCAGAAAATTAAGTCCGGCTAGATCACTTCAGGCTGGCCCCATTTGCAGGTATAGCTATCTAAAACATTAAAAATAGGTAGCTATATCGTTTAAAATCCAGTGATATACTGTCTCACCTTGCTCTGCACATCCTCAGTTGCTCTGTATTTGTCAGCACTGTGCCAAAATTGTAGAGGCCGATCTGCTGACAGTCTAAAGATTTACTGCTGCTCAAGACTCTGGGCTGCAGTAAAATGGCAGCAAGTAGAAGCAGGAACAATACTGGAGGCAATTTACAGAGCATACTACTTTTAGAACATAAAATTAATATGGAATGTATGTTCCTTGCTAAAGAACATTTTTTCTTAATCAAGTTGTTCCACTTTAAAATCAAACTTGATTAACTAAAAGTTTTATGTAAGCAAACTGTCTGCACATGTATGTGGTTGTGATTTGCTATTTATTAATTGGATATACAATATGCAAATTTTGCAACTGATTTATCAATTAGTTCCAGTTGCTAAGGACTTACAATGGGTGCAGTGAGCTGCATTGATCAGCTGGGGTTCAATGCAAGAACACATAGACAACAATTGTTCTCTATGTGCCCTGTTCACACCATACACAAGCGTTGTGTAAAAATGCAGCATGTCTGAAGCCTGTTGCTTGCAGTGGACTGGTGTGTGATGATGGATAAATGTGTAAAGTAAACTGCATGATGTGTTGTAGCAAAGCATGTTCTACAGAGCATAATGTACATGGGACATACACTGGGCGTGTTGTAATTGACTGTAGTAGCTTTAGCTAAATAGAGTAAGGTGAATTGTGTTCCAGCAGCAGTATGAGTGACTTCCGGTCTGCTGCCGAATATAGAGAGAGTTGGGTTTAGTACTTCTCTGCCATTCAAGAGAAGCCTTATACTTTTACCAGTGAATACAAAGCTTTAAATGATTGGCCATTGTTATGATTTTAATCTCAGCCTATCAGAGGGAGTCTTGTATTCATTTGTAAAAATATAAGGCTTCTCTTGAAAGGCGGAGATACACTAAGCCTGCCTCTATTTATATACACTCACCGGCCACTTTATTAGGTACACCTGTTTAATTGCTTGGTAACACAAATTGCTAATCAGCCAATCACATGGCAGCAACTCAATGCATTTCAACATATAGACATGGTGAAGAAGACTTGCTAAAGTTCAAACCGAACATCAGAAAGTGGATTTAAGTGACTTTGGTTGTTGGTGGCAGACAGGCTGGTCTGAGTATTTCACAAACTGCCAATCTACTGGGATTTTCACGCACAACCATCTCTGGGATTTACAGAGGATGGTTCGAAAAAGAGAATATCCAGTGAGCGGCAGATGTGTGGACGAAAATGCCTTGTTGAGGTCAGAGGAGAATAGGCAGACTGGTTGCTGCGACATTCAGGGTAGGGTCAGAATTTGGCTAAAACAACATGAAAGCATGGATCCATCCTGAATTGTATCAATAGTTCAGGCTAATGGTGATGGTGTCATGGTGTGGGGGGGAGATTTTCGTGGCACTAACAAGGTGTACCTAATAAAGTGGCCAGTGAGTGTACATTTCTTGATGAGTTAAAGTGGAACTTCATTCTCTCAGACAACACTGACTATTTTTAATCCTTATGCTGCTACCATTAGTTAATAGATAAGAAATTATAACATATTTACTTGTTTATATTTACTTATTTTTATGTTTCTTCAGTTACTTTCTGGTTTCCAGACCTAGGCAAATGATGTCATACATCACAGAAGTCTGCAGGAGGAGAGGATGGTTTTCTTAGCTAAGCAAACCTTCCTGCCTGCCTACCTAAGCTAAGGGCAGATGGATTCCAGGAAGTAAATGCTACATGAATCATCTGCCCTTATTCAAGATGGCCACAACCAAAAATGCTATGGAGTATTTTTCAACTTGATGTCTCAGCAAAATAAAGTATGGAGACATGGATGGATGGGTGAGTTTGCCTTAAATATTAAAAATTAATTAACGTTCCGCTCGTCCATTGCCTGTTCGTGCTCCCTGGGAACACAGATCGCTGTACGGGACCTCTGTGTGAGGTCATGATTCACATGATCACTGATTGGCCAATCAGAGATCACATGAACAGTAGTAAACAAGATGTCACTTCCTGACATCATTGCTTACTACTTGTGAAATCTGTGAATGATCACAGAGGTCACATGGTAAAGGGCAATTCACAACAGCCTTGTACCATGTGACAAGCTGTGACCAATCACAGCTCACACAGTATTTCTCAATGGCTGCAGGAATGCAGCCAGAGAGAAGGAGAAATTATTGCATTTACAGCCTTTATGGATGTAAAAGCAATCAGTGTAAAAAAAGAAAAAAAACATCTTCATCACCCCCCACAAGTAGTACAGTGTCACTATGGTGACACTGTACTGCTAGGGTGACAGTATGTTAAAGACAAAAAACATAAATAATAATATAAAAAAAAAAAACTAAAAATGTAAAAAAAGTTTTTGAAAAATTATTATTTTTGGTTATAAACTAATTTGGGTTATTTTTGTTTTACTAAAAAGATAGATGAATACATTTTGGCCGAGATTTGTGAAGAAAAATTATTTATGTGCAAAATTTTATAAGAAAAACTTTTTTTTTTTAATTTTGGGACTTTTTCATTTATGTAGCAAAAAAATAAAATTCCCAGTGGTAAATAAATACTACCAAAATAAAGTTTTATCCATCTCAAAAAATGCTAAAAAATTCATATGGGTACAGTGTTGCATGACCGCGCAATTGTCATTCAAACTGTGAAAGCACTGAAAGCTGAAAATTGACCTGGACTGGAAGGGGGTGAAAGTGTCTGGAGTTGAAGTGGTTAAACAGCGCTTTTGGTTTGTGGTGCTCAGATGCAGTGAATTACCACTCTAAGCTACCAAGCCAGCAAGGGGCTATACTGTCTGCACAGACTGGATCTCAGGAGATATGTCACTATATATATATTGGCATTTGAAAAAACATTGCTAACTAGAAAGACTGTCTGCTATCTCATGGTTTACTTTTCAGTCTTAACTTTTACCTTAAAGAGTAAATTGTTGCAATTTGAATTTAAAGATAATTTCACACATCAATGGCTAGAAACTTGGTCAGGAAAATTGTACATACTTTTCAAAATGCCATATCATCTATTTTATGTTTTGTAGACTAAAATGCAACGTTCTAGAAATACTTTAACCATGTTATAATGACTATCCCCATCCCTTGAACATTTTGTAATTGTGTGCTCACAAGCAGAGATAAGCAAATGGTAAGCGTGTGCCCAATTAAAACAGAATTTGATTGTGCTAAATGTGCCATGCAAAGAATCACAAAAATAAAAAAACAGCTGGTCAGATATTGTCCTCCTGACCCTGACTTTCCTTTTGGAGTTCATGCTGCAGAAAATAAGCTTCCACATGATGCACTTTCCTCCTATAATGCTAGCCCTACCATGTCTCCAGAGGCTGGGTGAAGCTGAGATACAATGGCCGCAATCTCTTTGCACCAATAATTAGAGGCAACACATGTCGTAAATGGGGTCTGTCATGAATAACAGATAATAAACACATGCACATGTGTTAAGCCCCCCAGTTCTACAGCTCATTCTGTGCAAACACAATCATTTTCCTCTTCCTTCTAGTAGCATGAATCACCCCCAGGCTAACAAAAAGCAAGAGGTGCTATTCAGATGGGGGCGGCCGAGGAGGTGAGACACTTCCACAGTTCTCTGAAACGAAATGATGGGATCTTAAGTATTGCTGCAGTGCCTGCAGCTCTATGTGCTCCTCTGTGCAGAGCAAACTATGGGAAACTGCCCGCTTGGTTTAAAGGATGGCTTGTCTTTACTGCATTTATTGACTTTATGCTGATCTGCCTGACATAATTCACTAAAAATAAATAAACGCAGAACTGCACGTCTAAACTTGTGACAACAATAATATTAGTAAATTAGATCCAGCAATGAGAACCCTTGACAGGGGCAAAAAAATGAAAATGTGTCTATCTCATGTTACAGCAGACTAGTATATTATTAAAAGTATTGTTTCGCAAAAATACTAATCAAGAGACGTAAGTAGTAATAATGGGCACCTAAATTATTTGGAATTATTTTATGTGCAGCCAGTCTTTGGTTCTGAGAGTGTCCCAAATAAAATACAGCCATGGGTGTCACCAATTATAGCCATGTGTCACGTTGGTTTTCTGCAATTATTTATTTACACCTGTGCAATAAGTCCTCAGAGACTTGTTTGAGGCCGTAATCCGAGACTGTAGACACTTGGAGTATGGCCCCATTCAAGGCTATGGGAGTTTCAAAAGGGCAACACTCCATCCAAATCCCATCAATATTTATTCTACTATAGCAGGTAATAAAACAAACATCAACACTGACGTGTTTGGGCCAATCCTGGCCTTAGTTAAAGCCTAAGTTAAGCTACCAAGTCAAATTTAGCTACTTATGATAGTTACATTTAAAAAAAGAATTAAGTAATATCCTTTTAGGAATTACTTGGAGCTACTGGGACATGTAGGGATCATAAGCAGAGAGAAAAGGTGGTATTTGTTAACCCATACAGATTTATCTCAGCATGCTGGAAAATGTCTGAACAACCTCTGGGCCTAGACGCCGAGAGGCCGCACATTTGCGTTCTATTAAAAAAGAACATATGTTCTTAGAGCGCACGCCCTGCGCGCTCCCAGCACACATGTCCGGTACCTACGGAAAGGTCCCGATCACCTCTTTGGATCGGGACCTTTCCCAATCATGTGACCGTGATGGCGTGTCACGGCGGTCTAATCATCCTAAACCCCGCCCCACCTCCCGGCTTCTGAAACCCTTAAAGGGCCGGGAGGCGCTGGCGAGAAGGGGTTAACTTAACAAAATGATGCATATAGCACATACATTGGTAAGGTGCTTTTGGGATCCATTCAGAATGAATGACACCACATCACACAAATGCATGTAATGCATGTTACCACAACACACCAAATCTGAATCCAGCCAAAGCGTTTTTCAATAGATTTATTTATATTTATTTGGTAATCTGTTTTGTTTGCTGTTGTTTCTATCATTTAGGCTTGTTCAACACCCATGTGCCTATGCTAAGGCTGTCCATACCCTAAGGCCCCTTTCACATGAGCAATCTGATCTGGTCTAACTCTCCGTTTTTCAGGCGGGCCCGATCAGATCCCCTTTCATCTCTATGGAGTGACCAGATATAAACAGTTTTGTGCCGTTTACACCCACTTACCTCCAATCTGATCCGATCAGAAGATGATCGGTTCCCTTCCATCTGGGCAGACTGGAAGGCAGTACTGACCGCCTGTAGAGTAGAGCGGGCTGTGTTCATGCAGAGTGGACATGGACCTGTGATCCACCCGCTCTGGTCGGCTCAGTGGGGGATCAACAGAAATGTGAAAAGGGCCTTATAACTTTCATTCCTTCAGCCTCATGGATGGATGAATCTCTTACTGCTGACTACTGTATTCTGAAAGCCGGCACCTGCATCTGTCAGAATACCTGAATAGCAGCTGCATCTAATTGGGTACAGTCGCTGTCAAGCCAACAATTTTCCAACTGACTTAAATAAAAGGATGTCGGGCAGGAGGGTGCCGAGAAGGTTACTCATGGTTTGAATTTCAGCTTGGAATTCAGGAATCAACTGAAATATGCTTTGTGTATGGTCAACTTTACATGCATGAAACACATTTTCATCACATTTTACCACACCGTGTGTGTTTTGGGGTGCATTGAGTTCCTCATGTAACCCCTGCACATGTATACAACATAAAGAGAAACATCTGCCATTTGGAGAACCACACAGAGGTAAAAACATTGGCCAAAAGCTGTGCAGGTCCATTTTTTTGTGCATAGAATCTTGTTAACAGCCCCTGCAAAGTGCATGGGTAACCTTAACCTATCGTGTGTCAAAGCATGAAAAAATGCGTGTTAACGCACACACGGGAACATTCATATAGATGTGAATGAGCCCTTACACAATGCAAAAGAAGATGAAGATGTCTTGAGAACGCCCTGTGGGTGGGACGAAACACGTTGATGTACTTCCGGCTGGCCGTCCCGGCGTCCTGCGTCATTTCCGGTGAGTGGAACGCACGCCGAGCGGTGCGTTCCAAGGGGCCATCTTGCTTAGTGGAGGAGGCTGTTTCTGAGGTCTGTCATCCTGCTGTGTACCTGGCAGTGAGGTCTTACTACAGGATCTGTGAAAAATTCGCTTTTATATACAAATAAATGCTGGCTATTACCTTTTAAAATGCGAGTGGTCTGGTTTAAAGCTAACTAAGATTGAAAGTTATAACGGTATCACACTATTAGTTTTTTTCTTCTTCCTGGAATCTGGTGGAGTTGGCGAGGGGAGTTATCGGAGGAGTTTTCTATATCTTAGAGGTGGCAATATTTGGAGGTTATAAAGGGGGTCCAGGAGCCCTAAATAATCCTGAAAGGCGTTATACTCACCAAATATCTGGTGAGTGCGGTTCATGTTGGTTCTGCACTGGTGGATGGTGGAAGGATTACTATTGGCACTGAAGAATTTCATGAAAATATAAGGTTTTTTTGGTCACTGGACTTTTTGTTTTTGTATGTGTCACTGATTTTTTGTTTTTTGTATGTGTCATTAGATTTTTTTGTTTTTTTTGACACATATAAAATTGTAATATTTGTATTAATATTATTTATAGGATAAGGTATTTCACATATACAGATTGTTTTTGTGTTTTGCGCTGTTTTTTGAGTTGAAGAAATGTGGTTTTATACCTGTGTACAACGGCATTTCACGTAAAGAGTGTGTTGGGAAGGTGGTCCTGGGCGCTGTGGTTCTTTTTTCTTGTATTCAAAAGAAGATGATAGCATCATTTAAATAATTACAACTACTAATGCTGCTGCTACTACTACTAATGGTAAAAATCACAAAATCATGTGTTTGCATTGTGTTACACTGTTATAATAACTTAGGAATGACTGCTGAGATTTCTAAACTTTGAACTGACCTTAGAATGTAAACATATCATTTTTCAGGTAATATGTAGACCTAATAAAGTTTAATCCACCTTTCACATTCATGGTGTTTTATGAGGAGAATTCCCACCTCCGGTCCTTTCCAATTCGGCATTTCAAGATCATCTCACTTGTGTCCAGGTGGTTCTATCATTACCAGGGCTGGCTGTGCCAGGATAATTAATGCTGCAGGCTCGCCTGTGAGAAGATCCTGAATAACTTCTCTTTT